CAGGGAGGCCAGTGCGGAAATCAGATCGGCGCCAAGTTCTGGGAGGTGATCGCAGATGAACACGGCATTGACCCCACAGGACTGATTTTGACATATTTTGACTACTCTTGAGGTTCCATTCATTTCCATTCATTTCCATGCATTTCCATTCATTTCCATGCATTTCCATTCATTTCCATTCCTCACCATGAACATGGATTGATATGGATTGATATGGATTGTATGTCCTACAATGTCCTACAGTTCTGATGACTTGACTTGACTCAGGAACTTACCATGGAGATTCCGACCTGCAGCTCGAAACTTGAGCAGAAATTGGCAGTTTCGTATAATATCTGGTGGTTTGGAACAATATTATACCAATATATTGGGAAATAAAGTTCCAAACCACCGACCAGATATTATTTCATAATATTTCCATATATTGGGCATAATCATCCCAATTGACTTTCATATTTTTCAGAGGGGTAGGTATACCACCAACCAGAGATGATAACATATGATAATACGATGATAACCTGATATGCAATGACAATGTAATTTTATCATGTAATGACCTAGCCGGAATGGTAGTGAAGATAATGACAATGGTAATGGCAGTGATGATTACAATGATAATGACAATAATGACAAATACAGTAATACTTATCACGATAATCGTGATGATGACTGAATGCCAACAATATAGTTCTAACTTGCTCTGATCTCAGGTGTCTTTGAGACGGGCCGTAAACATGATGCAGAAAACTGGCATGCAATTTCAGTTACATAATGTATATGAGAGCATTGTCACCGGTTTTCCTATATACTATATATCTAGTTGACAAAGCCGTGGCCTGTGCATGATACGTACACTGCATCGCTGAATGATGATGAATGATGGTCATTGCAGTGAATGTTGTTGTTGACATCTAGTCTCCTTGATTCAACTCCTTACTGGTGTTGCATTGAAGTTGACGGTGCGAGACTTTTTCTATGCGTTTTTGCATGCCTCCGGCCAATGTTTCGTGCATTGTGTCCGTTGCAAAAAATCGTTGCAGGAGCGCATCAACGTGTACTTCAACGAGGCAACAGGTGGACGCTATGTGCCCCGTGCCGTCTTGATGGATCTTGAGCCAGGATCGGGTCATGATGTTCATGCTAACAAATGATGGCACAGAATTTTAGCAACATACTCATCTGGATGTTTGCTGTAATGATTGATTTCTCAGTAGAGCAAGATCACAAACTTGACAGTAATCGTAAAATAAACTCAATGAGAGCTACAGTAGAATATCTTTGAGGTGAAATTGTCTCTCCTTCGTGCTGCAGGCACCATGGATAGCGTTCGTGCCGGACCCTTCGGCCAACTGTTCCGCCCAGACAACTTCGTGTTCGGTCAGACAGGTGCTGGAAATAATTGGGCAAAGGCCAGGTTTGCAACATTTTGCGTTGTTTCCATGGAAGCCAGAAGTTTTAACGTCATTCCATTGAGCGACCAAGAGTTGCAACCTGTCAGGGTCACTACACCGAGGGTGCTGAGTTGATTGACTCTGTCCTGGATGTGGTTCGAAAAGAAGCTGAGGGGTGTGATTGCTTGCAGGGATTCCAACTTTGCCACTCTCTTGGCGGCGGCACTGGTGCTGGCATGGGAACGCTGTTGATCTCCAAAGTGCGCGAGGAATATCCGGATCGCATCATGGAAACATTCTCCGTGATTCCATCTCCAAAGGTGTCCGACACAGTGGTGGAGCCCTACAATGCATCTTGACAAAATTGGTTTTGTCATGTTTTGTCAAGGAACACCTTTGAGTTACTTTGCCATGATGCGTCAAAATTCAGGGGCTTTTGTGATGCTTTGGGCAAGCCAGTAAAGTTAAATTGACATAGATAGCTGGATTTTTTCATGTTCATTTCACTGTCATTCTTGAATTTTAGTGACTAAGGCAGTCTTGAGCTTTCACCAGTTGGTGGAGAACTCCGATGAGTCCTTCTTGTTGGACAACGAAGCTTTGTATGATATTTGTTTCCGCACTTTGAAGCTGACTACCCCAACTTATGGTGATCTCAACCATTTGGTGTCTGCCGCAATGAGCGGTGTGACATGCTGCTTGCGTTTCCCTGGGCAGCTGAACTGCGACCTGCGAAAGATTGCAGTGAACTTGGTGCCGTTCCCACGTCTGCACTTCTTCATGACAGGCTTCGCACCATTGACTTCCCGCGGTTCGCAGCAGTATCGTGCCCTGACCGTTCCAGAGTTGACGCAGCAGATGTTCGATGCCAAGAACATGATGTGCGCAGCCGATCCTCGCCACGGCCGCTACTTGACAGCGGCAGCCCTGTTCCGCGGCCGCATGTCCACCAAGGAGGTTGACGAGCAAATGTTGAACGTCCAGAACAAGAACTCTTCCTACTTTGTTGAGTGGATCCCCAACAACATCAAGGCATCTGTGTGCGACATCCCACCCAAGGGCTTGAAGATGGCTGTTGCCTTTGCAGGTAACTCCACTGCCATCCAGGAGATGTTCAAGAGGGTGGCAGAGTACTTCACTGCCATGTTCCGCCGCAAGGCCTTCTTGCATTGGTACACTGGTGAAGGTATGGATGAGATGGAGTTCACCGAGGCTGAGTCCAACATGAATGATTTGGTCTCGGAGTACCAGCAGTACCAGGATGCTACTGCTGAGGAGGAGGGCGAATTCGATGAGGAAGAGGGCGAATATGATGGATAAGCCAAGACCTATATAAATTGAGACTTGGCAAATCCTACTGATGGGATAGCCCACTCCCCGCATCCTTGCAGCCAGCTGGGCGACAAAAATAGACTTCACAGCTTTTGCCCCAACTGGACATTGGAACTGTGTGTTTCTATGTGTTTCTCCTTGACGGAAAATTGAGTCGCAGTCCATGTGTTTGCTATGACCAGATTTTATATAGATCATCATCTTACCCATGATAATCCCATTGCATGTCATTGCAATGTCAATATAAAACCAATCAAATCTCTACCGGCCACTGCAGGCAGTCTACACGTGGGACGGCGTTTTGAGGCTTCGGCCAATGCAGGCCAGCATGGCCTAAGCCGCAGCTATGCAGCGCTTGTTGTTCATGGCAGTCCAAGATCTAATATCATCCAATATCTAATGAAGTTAAATGAAGTTGGTTGAATCAACTGAGGAAACACATGGAAACACAATTTTGAGAGAAAAACAGATGAAGAAATGCGAGAAATGCATTGCTTTCCCCTCTCCTTTTGTGTTTGGCCGCTTTATATTCACATATATTCACTGTTCCCGCTGGTGGCAGGAGCCGACTCAACAGAGGTGCGGCAGTTGTAGAAGTTCGGAGCAAGCGATTTGCAAGTGGACACCGTGAGAAACCTTGAGAATTGATGAGAATATATGAGAATTGAAGAAACCAGAGATTTTCATAGTATTTCAGTGAGAGCATTGAAAGCAGCAGTGTCAGGTGTTCAAACACAGATTGAGCTTACTGATTGATCGAATGCACCAATAGTCCCATGTTTTCCCCGCATTTGGGTGAGGCAGCCGCACAGGACACTGCAACGACACATCAGCTTAGGAGCCGGGATCGGTGATGCCAGCAAGATGTTTTGATGTTTCTGGTTCATCAATCGCAACAAGGAGTGTCCTAAAATTGTGACCCACCCTAAAACATCCCAAAACCATGAAGTAGTTCTTTACCAAGGGTAGACCATGGTAGGTCCTTTTTGGGGGAACTGAGGGATCTGCACTACAATTAGACGTTTTGAGTTGCTAACAAGACCAGGACTCAGGTGGCGGGGCCAATGCGTGATTGGTGGAAGCCCTGCGCACTAGTGGGTGGAACTTGTGCCTTAGATGCAGGTGTGATGAACAGCTTTCCTGCTGCTACTGCTACTACTGCTACTACTACTACTACTGCTAGTACTGCTACTACTGCTACTACTGCTACTACTGCTACTACTACTACTGCTGCTACTGCTACTACTGCTACTACTGCTACTACTGCTACTACTGCTACTACTGCTAGTACTGCTAGTACTGCTAGTACTGCTACTACTGCTACTACTGCTACTACTGCTACTACTGCTACTACTACTACTGCTAGTACTGCTACTACTACTACTACTGCTCCTACTGCTACTACTGCTGCTACTGCTGCTACTACTGCTACTACTGCTACTACTGCTACTGCTACTACTGCTACTACTGCTACTACTGCTACTACTGCTACTACTGCTACTACTGCTACTACTGCTACTACTGCTATAGGCTATACTGCTACTTGACCCCCTTTGCCTACTACTGCGACTAACGGCAGGCTACTACTACTACTGCTACTACTGCTCTAACTCTTGCTACTACTGCTACTACTGCTACTAACTGCTACTACCTGCCACTACTCCCACTACTGCTACTACTGCTACTCTTGCGACTACTGCGACTACTGGTACTACTGCTACTACTTGCTACTACTGCTACTACTGCTACTACACTGCTATACGGCGACTCTGCTACTACTGCTCTACTGCACCCTAAACTGCTCTACTACTGCTACTACTGCTACTACTGCTACTACTGCTACTACTGCTACTACTGCTACTACTGCTACTACTGCTACTACTGCTACTACTGCTACTACTGCCACTACTGCCACTACTGCTACTACTGCCACTACTGCCACTACTGCTACTACTGCTACTACTGCCACTACTGCCACTACTGCTACTACTGCTACTACTGCTACTACTGCTACTACTAGTGCTACTAGTGCTACTACTGCTACTACTGCTACTACTGCTACTACTACTACTACTGCTACTACTGCTACTACTGCTACTACTGCTACTACTGCTACTACTGCTACTACTGCTACTACTGCTACTACTGCTACGACTGCTACGACTGCTACTACTGCT